ACTCATGCCCAGGAATGGAGTTCTGGGAACTCGAAGAACACGAAGTGGCCTACAGTTGGCTCCGGGCATTCAAAATCATGCCCAAGAATGGAGTTCTGGGAACTCGAAGACCACGAAGTGCGTTACAGTTGGCAAAAAAAGAGTCCCCGGCATCCTCCCCCGGATCGCGCCCAGACCCCCCTCGGGCGTCATGATGCTCTCGTTTGACCCTACTCGAAAGTTATCAGTCTTCGCTGTTAGGTAAAAAACAATGCGCGGGGGGGGCGAATATTCCCAAGACGTCATCAGGGGAAGAGGGAGAGTAGTATTCATATTGAGTAATTGTGGAGGAGGAGGAGGAGGATGATGATGAGGAGGAGGAGGAGGAGGAGGAGGAGGCGGAGGAGGCGGAGGAGGCGGATGAGGATGAGGCGGAGGAGGAGGAGGAGGAGGGGAGGAGGAGGGAGGAGGGAGGAGGAGAAGGAGGAGGAGGAGGAGGAGGAAGAAGAGCGAGAAGCAGGAGAGGAGGAGGAGGAGGAGGAGGAGCTAGAGCAGGAGGAGGAGAATCAGGAGGAGGAGGAGGGGAGGAGGAGGAGGAGGAGGAGGAGGAGGAGAAGGAAGAGGAGCAAGGACGGAGGAGGAGGAGGAGCAGGGGGAGGAGGAACGAAGGAGGAGGAGGAGGAGGAGGAGGAGGAGGAGGAACGACGAAAAAGGAGCATATCGGAGAGCGCACCCAGGTGCGACCACAACTGCAGTACCGCGGTCAGGTCGAAGACGGAGGCGCTCGCAGGAGCGCGGATCGGCACGGGCACCTCACGCAAGCACAGTGCCGCCGACCTTGAAAGTCACTCCGATGCGCCAGAATCGAAGCCGTCCTGTGACAGGTCTAGCTCGTCGGCTGCTACTTCAGAACTGCTGCACGAGGGACTCCCCGAGGAAGAACTCCAACCTCGCCCCCTGCAGCACCGTTCGGGCGCCTGCCGCACGCTGCGAGGAAGGTGAGGATCTCCCGCAAGCGCCCGAGGGCCGCTCCCCTCCGCTTCCCCGTCGGGGGCGTCGGTCGCGGTGGCGACGCCGAGGATGGGGACGAAGGGAGAGGCGTCGAAGTTGAGGGGCGTGCGGAGGCGTCGCCCACCTCCATGGAGCGAGCCACATCCGCCGTGAAATGGCGCACGTCGGGAGCATTGGCCTGAGGAACAGCTGCGCCCCGAGGAGGCGCTTCCGACGCGCTGGCGCCTGCGAAACCATCGTCCGTCTCCGCGTGGGGCCCGTCGTCTCCGCCGAAAGCCGCTCACACGGTCGCCGTCGCGACCGTCAGGGTGATCTCGTCTTCGTCGCCGAGGGCCAGCATGCTCTTCTTGAAGCGGAGGAGCGCCCACACGAACGGCGCGATAGGGTTGGCTTGCTCAACGTGCCCGTACTCCCCGCGCAGCGCGGGGCATCCCCAGTCGCTCCGCCACCTTCCCGTCCTCGTCCTCGGGCACGTCGGGCACGTGGGAGCACAGGTCTCGTTCGCCCAGATGTTGCTCGGCCGAGCAGTCGTGGGGACGACGGCCAGCACCATGAGGAAACACACCAGCATCTGGACGAACATCGGTGTCTTCGCCAGCGCAAGGAACATTACTAGGACGAGGAAGGTCCTCGCCAGGATGGAGGGGGGGGGCACCGGCAGCCTCCTGGGGCGCGCCAGCTGGGAGGGGCGAGGCGTCCACGCGCTGGGCCTCCGCGTCCAGCTGCACGCCGACGGTCGGCGCGGTTCCGCACGAGGTGGGCTCAGCGCCGCCTTTGCCGAGCCTGGGGCCTCCAGAGGTGAGCGCGCCACGCGGCGTTCCCGCGGTGGCGGCGGGAGCCAGGGACAGCGCGTCCCTGGGCAAGCAGCACCAGCGCGGGGCTCGCCGCCAGCTCGCGGCCCTTGCAGGAGCCAGGCTCGCAGCGAGCCTGCGCGAGGGCGTGGATGGCAGCCTCCTAGGGGGCTCGGCGCCGCTGTCTCGCCGCAGGACGGGCGGCGGTGGCGCCCAGCGCGGCGATGTCGCGCCACCTGGACTCCGAAGGCCGGCGCGCTCTCGGGTCGCCCCCCCCTGTCGCCATTCCCGTTGAGCCCAAAGCCCCGCTCCCCCCTCCCTTACGCCCGCCGCGTTGCCCCGCGAATCTGGGGCCGCAGGGAACGCCGAGGAAGAGTCCAGGATCAAGGGGCCCGCGGAAGAACTTGGCCAAAATGGCTACGGAGGAGGAGGCGGAGGAGGAGGAGGAGGAGGCGGAGAAGGATGAGGAGGGAGGAACAGTCCCACGCTCCCAGCACGCTGTTGTGCAGCATCCAGAGCCAGCGCCCAGATGGCCCACGGGCGCGAAAACGAACATGGGCTGCGCGTCGTGGCCTGCGCTGGAGGGCGACCCTTCCCCCTGTTGGGCGGCGCAACTGCGCGAAGATGAGCGCGCGCCGCGCATGGCGGGGCGGTAGGTTCGACTCGTGTCGACGCGGCAGCGATCCCACCGCGGGCGTTCAGAAGCCTAGAATCGGCCAATATGGGATGATTTGGAGATCTCAAAGGTTGAACGATCCACACGGTGTCAAAAAGCAAAGCCCGGGTCGTCAGTGCACGAACATGCCAGAGGTGACATAGGAACGTGCAGACGTCTGGGAAGATGTGTGATGGATCTGCGGCTGCTTGCGTACCCTGTCCCTGCGGGTCCATTCGGCGCTGGGGTATCGGACACCCCTGCTGGGTTTCGCTCGGCCGCAGATAATCCTGTATATTCTGAGTCTCGGCCAGCTTTTCAGAATCCTACCCTGCAAAAGTAGGGCTCACATGTGGTTGCAGGGCCCACTTCGTGATCTGGTGCGTTTCGATCCCATTCCGACTTCGTGCTGGTGCGGCCCGATTCGATGCTTGTCCCGACCCGATCCGAATTCCCGATACGATACCGACTGATCCGGGGCTGCCTAGCGAAGCCAGGCCTGGCCTGTTCGACGGCACGGATCTGGCGAAGGAGTGCTGCTTCTGCCTCGAGGCGCCCCCGGGTCGTTTCTGCCGTGCTCTCGTGCCGCCGCCCCCCGACGGCCAGGGGCCCACGAGCAGCCGGGCCGCTTCTGGCCAGACTTGAGCCGACTGGGGCGATGAGCGCTCGCCTCCGCAGGCAGCGCCTGCACTGGGGAACGCGCGCGAACATACCTCCACCCCCTGGCGCCCCTTCCCCCTCCCCCTGCGCCATGGCTGGGCCAGGGCTGGGCCAGGGAACTTTGGCTGCCGATTGTGCGGATGTCCCGCGGAAAGGGCACAACCAAAATATTCCCCCCAGAGATTTGGGGCTCCGAAAAGATTAGAGCGGCAAGTTTTCAGCGACGTTCCGTTTCCGGGGGCTGTCAACGGGCCCTGGGACCGTCAACAAACGATTCAGGATGAGTCCACACGTAGTGATAAATGGTGCATTGTATGCCTTGCCTCCCCCCACACGTGGCCCCCCCTCTTGTCGAGAAGGGGGAGCAGGCGGGGGTGGGGGGTGCTCTTTTGCTCCCCGCAGCTGCAGTGGCCACCTGCCCCATGGTCGCTGGGAGCCTTACTGAGCCCTGGCTCCTGTGCCCATGTGTCACCGCCAGCTGCTGCCCCCGGGTCGGCTGGAGGTATGATCTTGGCCCAGCCACTGCGCCTCCACTGCAGTCACAGGGGGTCGTTTGGGGGTCGGCTCCCCGTCTCCTCCTCCTCTTCCTTCCTCCTCCTCCTCCTCCTCCTCCTCCTCCTCCTCCTCCTCCTTCTCCTCATCCTCCTCCTTTTTGCCTCTGCCGCCCCCTGCGCGGCGGGAGAGTGGGTCGGTCGAGCGTCGCGTCAAGCTGCGAGAGTGAAAACATCCTCATCATGATGTTCCTCCTGCTGCTGCTGCTGCTGCTGCTCCTCCTCGTCAGTCTCTCTGGCTCAGGCATGTGTGCGCTGAGCTTGTAGCAGCATGCGTCTTCAGAACGACCAAGTGCTGTTACGAGCCTTTTGCGGCTCCGTTGTGTGAGCTCCTAGTGGAGCAAACTTCCCGCTCCCCAGGGAGCATCCGTGAGCGATGGGCTTGTCCCCCGAGGTCCGCGGCAACCCTTTTAGTCGTGCGGCGGCAGCGGTCTCAACACGAACTGGGCTTCAGGGTTTCGGTACAGATGCGGCAGATCGGCCCCGCCCCATGTGGTCGCAACCACTACGAGGAGCGCGAAGAGAAAACATTGTGCAAGCGCAAGCCTGCTCCTAGATGGTGGCGGCAAGCGCGATGATTCACTTCAGAAGCGTTCGACGGCCCCCAGACGCATTACGATCAGCTGCTCAACAACATTGCGACAAAGGGCCAGTCCCTCACACAGTGCTGGCAGCAGCGAACCAGCACTCAAGGAGGCCGACAAACAGAAGCAGATGCGTGATCATATCATAGGGTACGAGAGTGCCATCCAACCCGTGGGCAAGATTGGAAGCGTTGGCAAGAGGCCAGTGTTCACGCACGGGCCAAAAACATGCGAACTCGGACGCCAAACGCGCGACGCTCGAAAAATGCATCAGCGAACAGCTTTGTGTAACCTGGCACGAACAAGAACAGTTGGATAACTGACGTGCCCAGAGGATCGTGTGCGACAAGGATATTGAAGTTCTACGCCGTGAACGTATCTCGGCGGTGCCTGACAACCCTCCTGTGCATCCTCAGTTTAACTTTGGATGAGATCGAAACTGGCGATGACAAGGGGGCAGTCCAGATTCTCTTACAGTTCGAGGCGTCGCTTAAGTATGAGCAGTTGCTGAAGAGCCAGATGGCCAAGGCGTCCAACGCGGAAGTTTCGTCATTCAGGCGGGCAGCGAGTCCGGTCCAAGATGGTGATGTGGAGATTGCGGGCGGCGCTGCAAAGGCTGCTCGTCTCATTCTCCCAGCGCAGCAGCTCCAACCGAGAAAGCTGCCGAGGTGCCGGTCTCCGACCTAGATGCCGACCGCCCTGCGTAGGAAGACGTGTTCTCCTGTGCGCAGCGAGTTAAGAAGCGAATGTTCAGTGATGAGTTTACAAAACTGTTCGCGAAGAAGCAACGCCATCTGTAATGATGCAGCGCCGATATGTTGCGGCTTGCCACCCTGTCCAGACATGGCACGCCAGTCCCCCCTCCTCGTCTTCCTTGTCTCTCTGATGTCCGTGTGCTTGCACAAGGGAATTCATATGATTTTGCGACTTTGGGGGGAAGGGCGGCCGTCGCCAGTGCCCCCTGTGATCTTGACAGGAGATCGGCTTCACTCAGGAGACAGGGCGGGTCGTGTCAACTCGTTGACGCGTTGGGGTATCGCATGCTGTCGTCGCCGTCAGTCCCAGGATTCAGAGGTAAGCCCAAGTTGGGGTTTAGCGGCGTTGGCAGCACATAGATTAAGCCTCAAATGGCCGATCGAGTTTTTGGTGGCCATTCCTTCCGGGCCCCCTCCTTGGCCGTTAGTGTGCGATTGAAGTATTGGTCTGGGCCCTGCGAAACTAATCCGCAGTTTGAAGCAGAACTGTCAGGCTTGTCAGGATGGCCGTGCGTTCCTTTATGTTACTGGCGATTGGGACCTCGAGCCGCACATGCGAGACTCCTGGGGACTATCACGCCGCCTTGAAATGTTTTTGTTTTTGCCGAGGCACGCGCGCGCGTGACCCCCCCCCCCGGCCTCTCTTCGCGATCGACGATTTTCTCGCGTGTAATAGTTCCCGTTTGGCTATTGAGAAGGTCCAGGCAGACTGGCCAGGACACCATAGCCCGCAAATTTGGTTGGTTGTATGTGCGGGATAAGGGATAAGGCCATCCAACAATGCAGTGCCAGCTCGCGCGCCGTTCCCATTGGCGCATGCCCGTCGAGTGGTCCGCGGGGCCTGCTTCCCGCCCGCAAGGGTGGAGCTTTGCGAGGGGCGTCGCCGAATGTTCGGCGGAGGCCGCCATCGATGGCAGCATTGGACACGCCTGGGAGCTGCTAAGTCAGGCCAGGGTATGCTTTCTAACGCGTTAGAGTGAGAGCTTGAGTCTTTCGCAGTTGCACGGCCACCTGTGAGGCCACAATTGGGCTCGTTTTACGGGTCGATTAATTTCGTTTTGCAGAAGATTGCGGGGCCCAAAGCAAAGCGCTTGACCATTGGCGAAAATGCGTGACCATCTCTTCCGTCGGCGTGGCAAATTGGGCGCGAGCGACCCTCGCGCCGGGCGCCTCGGCGACGCGGGGCGCCCCTGGCGCGGCGAGGCCGGCGACGGTGGGCACGGGGCCTGGCCTTGTCAGCACGCCGACGCATTTGCCGCGCGCAGCCCAGCGGGGGGCAACTTGCCCGGCCCATTGCAGGACGCCGCCCCCATTAGTCATGCAAGTGTTTTTTTGTGCGTGCGTGCGTGCGTGTGTGTGTGTGTGCGCGTTGTTTCGTATGACTTATTTAAATTGTGCTCCCTCTCTCTCTCTCTCTCTCTCTCTCTCTCTCTTTTTTCTCCTTTTTTTTTTTTTTTCTCTCTCTCTCTCTCTCTCTCTCTCTCTCTCTCTCTCTCTCTCTTTCTTTTTTCTCTCTCTCTCTCTCTCTCTCTCTCTCTCTCTCTCCTCTCCCTCTCTCTCTCTCTCGCCTGCGCGTGCATATGTGTGAGATTTTCTTTGGCGACCTCGCGCGATCGCCCCGAGGTGAATCGCCCCCCCCCCCCCCCCTCTCGGAGCGCCCTACCCCCGCTTTGTTCAGCGCCCGGAGGTTAGCCATCGATTGGGATACAATTGACCTCGAGGGCTGTGGCATTTACGTGCGTGGATCTTGTTCGCGCCATGAGGTGCGCGATCCTAGCCGTGCCTCGTACTCCTGGGTGTTTCTTGGACCTGGAGAGAAGATGGTTGTCTGCGCCATTGGAGCGGCGTGGGATGTGTTGCTCCTGGCCCCGCAGGTGGCTGGACGCCGTCCCATCTTATAGATCACCCCAGGAAGGGCTACCCTAGGGCTA